CAAATAATGAAGGAGGAAGAAAAAATTCAGCTATATAATTTTTCAAAGTGTAGACCTCAGATTCCCTACTTCATTAATCATGTGGGTTTCTTATTCAAACCACAGATTTCTTGGCTTGAGTGAATTAAATTATCCGGGCCTCAGCCCCCCCCCAGTATGTATGATTCACAAGCTTATATGGCAATTTAATGTCATATAAGACAAAATAAAGATGATTTATAATATTTACATACTTACTCTGTATAAATACATAATACATATTATTCATTAGTAAAAGTATAAATTGTAGGCCTCTTACCAAAGTTTGAAACAGAGAGCTAGTGGAAAAATATTTCACCTTAGTATTTGCCTATTTTAATAACGTATTACATAGCTAAAATTGTTGGTTGTCTCTACTGAAATATGTTTAAAATTAAATATTTTTCAAGCAGCAACTGAGCACATCATTTATAAGATATAGCATTATGGCAGGTGAAATTTGCATTTGATAACTATATTTTACAACTTCTGTCTATTGCTGCTGCTTCCTGAGCTGCCTTTTTCCCATTTCTACAAGTTCAAATATCGAACACTGAGATTGGTTTTTCTTGATTCTTTTTTAACAAGCATTTCTAAACTGCTTCATATGATACTTTTCTCCTCTAGGTGTTTTCAAATTGATTTTTCGGGGGAAAGATTTTCAGCTCCAGGGTTTTGTCAGATCCTACAGGCGCGCTCACAGGCTGGTGTCTCCCGGAACATTCTATCTCATTTTCTTGGTCATCTTAATGTCCTGGGCTGCTCTGTGCTCATACAATCCACAAGTACAGCTTCTGCTCTAAAATGCAGCTGCTGAACGGAGGAGAAGAGCAGCTCCAAAAGGATGACACAAACATTTCGAGGAATCGTTCTTATGGAACTATAACTGACACTTTCTATGGCATTTTAAAGGTACTGAGTATTTCAAAATGATTAAGAAAATTGCTATTGTAAAAGTCACTCTAAAAGAATAAAATTGCCACCAGACTGTTAACTCCAAAATATTTCCTTTGAACAAGGATAATCCATAATGATATTCTTATACTTTCAGATTACAATTAGAATTAATGATATTCTTATACCTCCAGATTACAATTAGAATTAATGGCAAAAATATTACAAATACTGTCTCTAATTGAACTACTGCTGTGTCTTCTGTGAAATCATTTTCTCTTCTGGTTTGAGGTCAGCTTTTTATGATCATAATGCCTATCCTTTCAGTATGCTTTTTTATTCTGATATATTGGAAGCATGAACAAATTTAATTTTGTAGTGCAATATGAAACCCTCCTAAGTATTAAACTCTATCGTCGTTTTCTTTCTTTCAGAGATATTTCATTGTTTATTCTTCAACTTCATTACGAAGATGTCTCTATTCTATTTTTTTTTTTTTTTTGGGGAACTGGGGATTGAACTCAGGCCCTTGCACTTGCCAGGGAAGCACTTATTCCACTGAGCCATCTCCCCGGCCCCAGATGTCTCTATGCTAGATGCATCAGATATTAATCGAGCATTCAGTGTAGCACAGATATAAGCCGTGCAGAACAGCATTTGAGAAAGCATCCAAGCAGGAGGCCGCCAGTCTGCAAGTGGATTTCACCTGCTTACAGTTAATAACCCTAAAATAGGGATCCCGATGTACACAGTTAGTGCGGACACTGTCCCTGGCCTTCTCCCACACTTTGAGTGCTCACTGACCCGTGCGGAAAGATAAGTGCATGAATGAGTTTACCTTTGGCCCTGAGAAAATAAAAGGAGATATTAGAAAGTGAACTAATCTTAACTTTAAAAAAATACTTTATGTTACATAGTGTGTTGATTTAGTAGTTTTAAACCATGGAGACAGAAAAATAAAAATAACACAAACAAAATGGCATTGACTTCTTTCGTTTGAGTTAAAAGTATGGGTTCACAAACATCTATCCATACTGGCTGCATTTCCATTGTCACTGCACTCTAGGTGTGGGCACGTGCGCGGATTACACTTGGCGTGGGCCTTGGGAGGCAACGGAGAGGTTAGCAGGAGAGAGGGCACCAGGCCGGAGCTGTCACTGCCTGCCTCCCGCCTGAGCCCGTCTTCTGCCTGACTCTTAGGTGTCTTTTCTGGGAGTCCTCCCAGAAGTGTGTGTCAGGTCACATCCCATGCTGCCAACTGTGTGGAAAATGAACATGCAAGGGGTTCTTTTGCTGGAGGTAATTAGAAGCCACAAGAGATCTTATGGAATTACATCCTATGGAAAACTGAAGATTGAATGCCACTGTGTGGGGGGCAGCAGTGAACGAGAAGCTAGACTAGGAAGTGGAACACAGTAGAAGTGGCAAGGCTGTCAAGAAGCTCTGTGGCTGTCACTGAAGCTGGGCTACTTGGAGCCCTTCAGAGGAGTCCTGCATACAGACTGAACAGCATAGAACAGGGTCTTCATGCCCACAGAGTGTGTTCTCACCACACCGAACACAAGACAGGCGTCATATATGACAGGAAGTATGAGCTTGGTGAGTGCTCCTGAGTAAGAGAAAGGAAGCACGTGCCCAAGAGAGGAGAAGTTCTGATTTGGGGGCTTTTTTTTTTTTTTTTATACAAAAGCCATGTTCATATCTGAAGATGATTATATCAAGAATTTATTCCATTTTTAAAGAATTAGACATAGAAGAAACAATATAATAATTTTGATGTTTTATGAAGACTTTTTCCTATTTGTTGTCTGTGTCTTTATGGAAAAGTACAGTATTGATTTTTTTTTTTAGGAAAGAATAGTAAGCTAAAGAATCTTAAAATGAGATTTGAAATTGTAAAGTAGGAAAAGTTCCTAAAGTAAATTTCAACTAACATTAACTCCTGATGTAGTGTGGGTAAAGAGAAAGGCAAAATTGGCACACTAGAGTAACCCAGAGGTCAGGATGGGTGAGAGGAAGATATATGTACATATATATATATATATATATATATATATATATATGTCTGTTTCATTCTAATTCTGGGCTACCTACCTGTTTAAAGCCAAACCAGAGAGCAGAAATTTTGAAAATAATTCAGAGAATCTCTATAGAAATTATTAAAGACTAAAGGCATAAGACCTACTATAAAAATTCAAATGGGATGTTATAAGTCCTTGTTGTTTCAGAATCCATGCTGATTCCTGTAATGTAACTGCATAGGGGGAAGAAAGGCTGATTCCTGTAATTGAGATTATAGTTGTCTTCTAAAAGAAATATCCAAACTTGCCTCTAAGTATAACACCAGATCTTCATCAAATATTCTTTTGTGTATCTCTTCCAGCTTCCATGAGAAGAAAGAACATTCCAAAAAAAAAAAAAATGTTGTGGTAGTTAATGACTAGCTGTCCGCAGCAAGAAAAGAAGGAAATGCGCTGACCCATTTATACTGTGTAAGCAGTGGAGAAGTTAGTTTAAACAGAAGTTGTCACAGGGGGCTATAGAATCTACTTCACGGGAGAGTTTAAAAATAGGCCAAGCACTCAACCCTCTAACACGGGAGAAGGCTTCAGCCTGTGGAATAGCTTGAGGACAGCCCCCGGCTCCCTCGGCTCTGTTCTACCTTGGCTGTTGTTCTCCCTAGGCTAGAACAACATCTGAGGAGGCCTCTTTGGCAGGGTGAGCCAGGCCATGCAGGCTTATTTCTGACTACATTGCTTTCTGACCACATGGAATGATAAGTATACAAGCAAGGGTGGGGTCACCACACTCCACCGGCAATGCCAAGGTAGGGTGTGCCCTCGCCCAGATCCTTGTGGCCAGCTGGAATGCCAAAAGACAACAGTTAGTATTTAGTGATGGTGTTTTCTAGGGTGGGGTTTGTGTGTGTGTGTGTGTGTGTGTGTGTGTGTTTATGTGAAAACAACATACCTAAAACTAACTGGAGAGAGAATTCAGTTAAAAATCAGGAAAACACATGGGGAATCCTCTTTTTTGTTCTTGCTTAGAGGTTAGAGTCTAACCTAAAGCATTTGGTTCTAAAGTTAGATCCTGGTGCTTAGCATCTGGAGTTTAAGAACCTTCTTGGTTGCTGAGGCCTGTTTAGGATCGTGGCCTGTTCTCTGCAGATGCGGTTTTCATAAGCTATGCTTCAGGCTTTCAGAGCTGTGCTATAGTGGCCGGTTTCTCCTAAGGGCTGAGGCTGCAGCAGAGCTGACAGGCACAGAGGTGGCTTTAAATATCATGCACCCCATCATTTGGTGGGCGGGTGTGTTGTTGCTAACTGTGCTTCCACTCCAACAAAGAACCATGGTGAGTTGCCAAAAAATAAACATGTTCCAATCTTAAGGATTATGATGAATTCTTTCCAAAGAAGTATTTTTTTTTTAAAGAAAAGAGTTTTATCCTAAAATATTTTCCAAATTTATTTAAGTACCACATGCAAGGAAAGTAATTTAAGTATTGTGTCATGCAATTAGAGCCCGTAGATGAGAGTGACTTTCTCTCATCCTTTTTACTTATCAGGTGGTCTCAGGTGTCCTATGTGGGCTGGGGACCTGACAAGGCCACCACCATCCTTGCTAGCCAAAGGGACAGCAGACCTGGAAACCTTGACTCCAGAAAATTTACAAACATGTGGTGAAAGTATGATTTGATTCTTTTAAAACTGTGCTTTCTCCCTTGTCCCCAATAAATGCTGCTTTTTTAAAAGGTCACTTCAGTTTTCTTCAGGAGAAGGAGTCTTCGCATCCCAACTGCTAAGTGGACACCCCCCCCCCCACTCATTGAGCTGGCCTGAAGGTCACAGACCATAATCAATGTGGAGGACAGTTGCTGCAGGTGCTAAATTGGCATCCCCAAACAGGAGTGGTGTCAACAATCAATACAGAAGGCAGAGCCCTGGTAGATTTATGGCTTTGATTTTGAAGAGGTATGGGAATGCCCAGTGATGCTTTCCCCTGCACTCCTTTTGAATGTTAATGCTCTCTTGAAGATGATTTCAGACACACTGCTAGGATACTGCCTCTACCCACTGAAGCAGAATCCTCTGAAGAGTTGCTGAGGCAGAACTGAAATCATGGCTCGCCTCAAAGCAGCAGCCGTATTGGCCGCTAACGATGCCTCGCACAGAGAGACGGCGCCCCTTTAACTCAGGGTTTTAATGGGAAGTTTCCAAGCCTGAAACAACAGCTTTAGAGCCAGGGTGTGCCATCAGCTGCTCACGGCCACCACTATCTACTGCTTTAACACAGCCCGGTCGGGAAGAATGGAAACTGAAGAGGCTCCTAACTACCTGTAACTGTTCCACCGGGAAATGGATCAAGTGATTCTTCAGCCAGATCCAGGTACTTGACCAGTTGCTGTGTCTTTGGTGGGCTAATTAATGAGATGCTTTTCTATAACTTTGCAATTTATGCATGAGCAGTAATCACATAGCTTTTTTGGGGGTCCAAATTCTGAATTTAAATCTAGCCATTAAAGTCTAATTAAACAGATGCCAGAGAAAGTTAAACATGAGGGTATAATGCCTTTATCTTTAAAGCATACTTACATTTATTATGGTACTGATATTGGATAAAGAAGTAGGAAAATGTTTGTTTTTTTTTTCCTAAGCTGCAGTACATTATTCTTGGAAGCTGTTTGCCTATCACAGTTTTTTTTTTTCCATTCAACTAAAACATCCAAGCTTCTAAAAGGTAACAAGGATGTTTTGATTTGTTTACAAAGGGTCAGAATTTAACAGCTCTTAATGAGACTGCTGCCTGTCCCTAGCTGACAAGCTGTGTGCAGCAGTAGCCTTTCGAGGTCTCTGCCCACAGTCTTTGCACTATGAAACTCAAGAGGAAAAAGGCAGAAAGCCAGGGGAAACTGCACACTTTATTATTTGAAGTTTAAAGTGCCAGTTTGCCAGAGGTGCCGTTCTTCGGACAGCTCCAGTTAAGGCCAGGCACCCTGGCACGCTCTGATCTTCTCACTTGAGTTGTATGCAGCCCTGGAGCTGCAGGTCCCTTTATAACTCTCCAAGCAGGCGTTAGGAGGAAGATAAATATAAGGAAGAAATACAGCAGGGCTTGGTGTTCAGGCTGAAGAGAAAGGTCACCTAGGGACGGAGAGGTGACAAGCAGCAGTGAGTTCAGAAGGGCAAGGTCCACTCCCAACCCAAGCAGCGAGTCTGCAGGCTGACTTTGCAGGGATGAGCAGAGAACAGACTTCCTGGTGCAGCAGTGGAGCCTGGCGCCGCTCCACAAAACTGCCTGTTGACATTCCGAGCTGGCCACACTCTCCTGTTTTAAAAATTATTTTTTTGTGAGCTGCCTAGTAGCCTTGGTCTATTTTTTTGCGAGTGAAAAATAATATCCACCCTTAGATGTTCAGTGAATTTGAAAACATTAAAGCTATTATATTGGAGTAGTAGGACTTTATTTGGAAAGAAATACCTAGATGTTGCCATGTATTTAATTGAGCCAAAAATAAAGAGAATGAGTGAGAGGATTTAAAAATATATGAAAGCACCTAGAAAGAGGCAGGCAATCTTTACCTGAAGTTCTTGGCTGGTCATGAATTCTTTAAATTTATGTGAAGCATTTTGTATATTTGTGTGTATATCCTGGAATGTAAGTTATTATTCACTGGGGCTAGTACGTGACTTTCCAAAAGGCTCATGAGGGAGTGACTTTTGCTCATGCAGTTATTTGATTCTTTGGATAATGAGGTAGCTTATCGAAAAGGGCTCCCTGTTGTTGGGGAGAGGCGCACAGGGGCGCCTGGGAGGCATCTAGCAGGGCGGGGTGCTCCTGGGGAGGCTCCAGACCTGCATACAGGAAAGCAACTCAGGCTTCCTTTAGCTCAAAAAATGAGAGTGACACTATGTAGCCCAACTCAGGCTGTGCAGTACTGTACTAACGGCAGGCTGAGTTACTCTCTGGAGCCAGCTTCAGCACTGTTGCGGAACAACGCAGTTCTTGGGGAAGTTTGTCTCTCCGGGCTCTGCAGATGCAGTCCTGTCTAGCTAGCCAGTTCCCTCCTGTAGTGCGCAGATTAGTCGCACCAGTCTGCCAGGTAAACATAAACTAAAGTGCACAGGACGCCTTTGTGGGGCAAAGTGTCCTGTCGGCGCACACTGGACAAGCCCAGGAGTGTTCTTGCTCAACAGACAGGCTGTTTTTACACCTACCTTTCATAACACGTCAAGTCACGTATTTAGGGTTCTGGCCTAGGAGGTTTAAAAATTAGGTAGGGTAATTATGTGGTTTAAGAGTACTTAAAGTACAGACAGCGTTGCTCAACTGCACTCTGCCTGCCACTAACCCAGGGATGAGGACTTTCAAGTCATTCTGGTGTCCTAGAGAAAAGCTTGGGGTCCAATATCTTGAAGGGCTAAAGACATACTTCTGATAACTGATTTTCATGATTTTAGGCAATTTATTAAAATTTCTTCGTCTCCTTAATTGTATAACAAAAATAGAAATAATCCTCACTTTGCCCAAAAATGAACGAAAAAACACTCCTTCCTCACTACTTCCTTATTGAAACTGTACTGTACGCCTCACACGCTGCAGACACCCTGCGAGCACACTGCTCTGATCATTGCAACCATTCGGGGAGCGTGGGCACCCAGTCAGCGACCACGAGGGGAAGGTGTCAAGATCAAGTGTCTGCGTGTGCTTCTAAGGGCCATGTGACAAATGCACATAATTGATTCTGTTGTCACTTTAAAAAGGAGAAAATAAATTGTGTCATTTTGTTAAGGTTCATTTTCTTCACACAACATGTTTCTCCTTTCTGTGAAATTGTGTAGAGATGCAAATAAAGCAAAATGACCCAAGGGGTGTACATACTGATATTATAGCTTGCATGTCAGACATTAGGATTCAGTAGAGTTTAAATAACTGCTTTTCCTCATCAAAATACAGGTTAAGTATGCATGGATTGACCTCTTCAACAGAAGAGTGACTGTTTGCCTCTGACAATTTTCCTATTGTTGGACTCTACCCATTAGCATGGAGGCCAATGAAAATTTAAAGAGCCAAATAATTCATGGCTGTCCAATTCATGAGCTCTGTGACTACTAAATGTCATTGTAGCTTGGACTAGTGATTCTTGGAAACAAAATCTATTCTAATGTAATGATCCAACATCCCAGTGGGGCTAATGATATATATATATATTTTTCCTGATTATATCAGTTAGAAAGAACTTTAATTTTTGAACTCAGTTCCGTGGACTGCAAGGGGCCAGAGATTTGACTGAACATCTATTCAGTGGGGCAGTAATCCTGGAATAGCAAGAGACTTCTGAAGAAGGTTGTTATTCAGTAAGGGGACGGTGACAGCACTGAAGACACTTGTCCTGTCACGACTGCTGCCCAGGTACAGGCAAAGTCTGGAGACAGGGTAGGAAGGTCCTCCTCGCTCAGAAGGAGAAATGCCAGACCCTACCAAGGAGACCCAGGGACTTACATGAAGGAGGGGGAGCAGACAGTAGGAGGGAGCGGAAGACAGCGCCATGGACTGGGAATCTGGAGACATTCAGATGCTAGGTGGAGCTGAGGAATGGACAGAATGAAGACATTTCCAGTAGTCACAAGACTCAATCACACCTACATTTATTCTTACCAATGCATCAGGCATTTTAGCTGAGATCAAATGTGTCTTTATGCTTGTTCCTTTGTAACCTTATGAGGGAAAATGAATATTTTAGAAAATTCCACTGTAAGTATATTCCACTTTGTGGTCCAAAAGGCACCAGGGCCTCAGGGGTTGAGAGGGTTCTGGGCACTGGGATAGACAGGCCTTCTGGAGGACTAGTAAAAGCTGGACTGGTGAGATGACCGGAACACAGGGTGGAGGAAAAGAACACTTTGAAAATCGCTCCAGTCATGGTGTGACAGGTCCTGGCTGAGGTACTTTGCTCACAAAGGGCTCCTCACTGTCAACTGAGGAGTTTAGGGAGATTGCCTTGAGGCAGGAATGTATTGTATTACTTTTAATGACATCTTTTAATTAAGAACTTCTTGGTCCAATATTAAAATTAGATGATAGTTCCTGAGCACATGCAAATGGACCTGGCAAAGGGAAGACACAGATGCACTGCGTGATGGGGGAAGCCAGTGAGGACTAAAATACTGCCGTGAGTAACTGTGGTTCTTCTTCATGCTTAAAATAACTGCCATTTGTTATTAGTAAGCCGCACGCATGAGGTCACATTAAAAACATTTGAAATAATTTGCTATCTTAGATTTAACTGTTTGTCAAAAGTTTTCATTATTCATTTAAAAGTAATGCTGAACATCTTCTAAGAATCATTTTTACCAAAGAAGGACATTACACTTTAAGACAAACATTTAAAAAATTTCAACATCTGACTCTTTCTGCTTTGTGGTATTGAAGAGATAACATTTTTTTTCTTTTTCTCTGTTTTGTATCTGATGCTTCTTTCAACTTAAACATGCAGTTGAGCTTTCTAAATTTGTAAATTATTTATCAGCTGATTAGAGGTTTAAAATCAAGCAGTATCTTCCAGGGACTTCAATCAGTCCTAAGCAAAATTGTGCAGTATTTGCATTTGTTTCCAGATCTCTTTATCACCGTATCCCTTTATGATTATCCCCTGGTCCTCTCATTTTCACCATCTTCCTTTCCTCCACCACCCATGTCTGTCTTCTGTCCTTCCTAGCAGCCCTGTAATTCCCAGAAAGATCTTCCTGTTTTCCAACTACATTTCCCTCCTCTTTCAATTTCCTTCCTATCAGCTGAATTTTCCATCTTTCAAGTGGGGACAGTTCTCAAAGATAAATCTCTGCTAAGATGCTAGTGTTTCCTTTTGGTTTGTACATGCTGTGATTTAATAGAGAACTTTGATTGTTGGAGCCAAGGAAGTTACTGAGGATATGGGCACCACAATATGCCTGGAGAGGAAGCTTTAAAAATCATCTCTATGTGTTATTTCTAAAAGGGTTTGGTGATGAAGGGGATATATAAATATATAGATAAGCAGATATATCAAAATCTATATATCTCATATCTTTCTATCTGTCTATCTATCTATCTATCTATCTATCTATCTATCTATCTATCATCTATCTATCTGTATAAATGTGTGGGTAGGCTGCACAGAGATTTAAACCTTTTCCTAGCCCTTGCCTCTGTGTGTGTACATGTGGTGGTGAGGATCAATCTCAGGGCTGTGCACGTGCTGTATATGTGCTATACCACTGAGCTGCACCCACCTCTTCTTGCCCTTCTAGTCAGAAAAGAGTGGTAAAATGAAAAGTCATTTTAAAATAATCCTAATAGTTTTGATTCCTGTGGAGAAGTCGAGCTCCTCTCTGATTTTATAGGAAGATTGCAAAGGAAGATATGTCAGATAGTGTGAATCAGAACAATTAGTCCATTAGCTGGGGTTTCTGGGGTGGCTGTCCATTTCTATAGCTCCTAAATGAGCAGTCTATGGGTCCTAGGTGCTGAGCTGTGGGTAAAGTCTTGGAAATGTGAGGTGTTGATCTAGGAGAAAAGGATTTGGCATTTTGCTTATTATGGAGGAGAAGGCAGAGGAAGACAGCTCTGGATGTTAAGATAGGGCTCATCCAGGTAGGCGCTAGATGAGGGAATGCCATGCTAGTTAGCCAGCAGTGGCCAGGAGTTCTTTTTCACTCTTTTTTTTTTAACACCTAGGGGTTCTTTATCCAATTCTCCCATCTTTTCATTGAAGTCATAGGTCCAGAAATCTTTATGTTGTACATACATGGTTAATGGTTTTTGCATTTCCTACAAAACAGGCACAGAAAAGGATTCAAATAAGCTAGCCAGGAAAGACATGGTGAAAGTGGGGATGCTCCTGTGGACATGAACAGGTGAAAGGGACATGCCAGGGACAGTCAGGGTTCATATCTTCTGTCATCAGATGACTCTCCTTTGTTCCAGCCTTTGCAGAAGTTTATGACTGGAATGATTAAATCCAGCATGAGGATTTTTGTTGGCTGCAGATGGCCCAGTCTGAGGTGCCAAGGAAGCTCCATTAGAGGTGTGACTACCCCTTCTGCTCTATTCTCTCCAGTGCCTCCTGAATCAATACCCAAAGTTGAGAGACTGTTTAAAAAGAAGCAAATCCAAATCAACCCCAACTCACCAGGTCTATATTCCTAATGAGCTTATTTATTTAAAAAAAAAGCACAGTTAAATTGAATTCCAATATTGCTTTGAGACAAACATGAATCATAAATGAATCTTGCAACTATCCCAGCCCTTAAAAAATTCAAGCTGAATATGGTGGCTGATGCCTGTAATCCCAGTACTTTGGAAAGCTGAGGCAGGAAGATAGAAGACTGGAGTCCAGCTCACTAAGTTAGAAACTCAGTAAGAACTTGTTTCAAAACAAAAAAGGATTGGGGAATATATGCAACTTAGAGTGAAGGCCCTGGATGTAATTCCTAGTACTGAAAAAAAAATCAAAGAGATGGGACTGCAAAAGGATTTATTACCCTCAAACTGGTAACACGTTTCTTCCAAAAGCTATCTGTGATTACCTTTACAAATTGTCCCTTAACCTGTGATTTCTCGTGAATGTTGAAGTGTCAACTCTCACACTTTTGTGATTACTAATGCTGCATTGAAGGTAATACCCATTATCATTAAGTTAACTTAATCATAACCATTAACTGAGTAACCATTAAATTAACAGAAGAAATGCTGCACTGATACTTGTGGTTATACTTGGCTGCTTGCTGTCACTGGGCACGATTTCTCAGATCCATGTTAATTTGTATGGGTAACTACAGTGTTGCATAATTTTCCTTACAAATTCAAGAGGACTTGTATGTGGTAATATCTAATGTGTATACTTTTTTTTTTTTACTAAATTTGATGTAAGTTGATTTAATTCAGTACCTGAAGCTTTTAATGATCTTTATATGTCCTTTTATCTTTAAAACAAACATTAATATTCAAATACCTCAAATTTTCCACTAGTGCTATGTTGTCTTTTTGTTCTTATCCTTTCTACCAAATGGTCTTAAGTGGTAGGAAGCCACTGTTAAGAAAACTGTCCCTTTAAAAACATGCAGTCCATCAATTCCTTTTCTCTAGCTCAATTCTCTTGGTGCTTCTCTGGGTCAAGTATTGAACTCAGTCTTTGTTTTTGAAGAAGAAAGAAAAAGCAGCAGTAACTTGATGATTTGAGAGTCTGAGATAACTCATTGTCCCTTGGCTCGGGCAATAGAAAAAAAAGTAGAAGTATTATAGCTATTTTAGTCAGGTCTTCAGTGAAGCAAGGCTTTGTTGTCCTTTATTCTCTTCTTCTCTGTACACCTTTCAAAGGGTTTCCACAGACATTTGTCATTATCATCGTGCCATGAGATAGTACAGGCATTTCTGATGATTTCTTACCATTTAGTGACCTCTCAAGGTCCCAACCTCACTTAGCAGTGAAATGGAGGCCAGAGCCTCCAGCCTAGAGCCTGAAGGGTCACCTTTTCTGGCCTCGCACAGACTGGCTAACACATGCCCAGGGTAGCCACCATCCTGACACATCACTGGTGCTCAGTCAGTGGTACCATTATGAGAGTGATGTCAGAGTAATATGACTGAGAAAAGCCAGGCAAGATAGAGGAGTGGGGCCTGGATGTCCAGGTGCTGGCAAGCCCCAGGTCAGCATTGCCTTGCCTACTTCTCATGTTCTGTCTTATACTTGCTTTTTGTGCCCATCCCTGCTAGTCCTGGTGGCCATTCTGAGGACAATCTAACTATTTCACAGAAAAGTAAAATACTTTTCTTCATAACTATAAAAGAAAAACATTTCTGGAGAAAGTAGAAGACTGTTTATAGATGTTTCTTGTTGGAAAAGCATCTAAGCAATCTAAAAAATAAATTCCTAGGTGAAAGCTATTCCTTCTGTCTCCCTTTCTTGCTCCTTCCAGAGGACTCCGGCTCTCCAGGGTGCAGTCACCATGTTCTCACCAGACTGATGATGGAAGAAGAGGGAACCTTCATGCCCTGTGCTCTGCCATCCCTGGATGATGGATGGAGGACAGCCCATCCCCTCGCCCCTCATGCCCCTTGGGAACGTGTCCTCAGATTCTAGCATGTCTCTGGAGCAGAAAACAACATTTGTATTTGTGGTTTTGTTGTTTATTTTCTTGGGCATCCTCATCGTCAGGTGTTTCCGGATTCTTCTGGACCCGTATCGAAGCATGCCGACCTCGACCTGGGCGGATGGGCTCGAAGGCCTGGAGAAAGGCCAGTTCGACCATGCCCTGGCTTAATGGGACACGCGGGATCTCTTCCTGAGGTGGGGAAGCGGTCCATGACTGGGCAAGGATTCTTTTTAGTTAATATTCTCAACAAATCAAATTTTAACAATATCTGGCCTAGGATCACAAGCTGTTATTCCATTAAACACAGAGCTGAATTAAAGATGTTTTATTTGAGAACACTGGAAATGAAAGTTTATATTACTAACCCTAAAAATAGGAAGGTTGAAATGTCTGGGTTTAGTCACTGAATGAACACTGCTGAACGAGTGACTGAAATCGAGAGCATCAGGACTGCCATAGACTTTGCTGCAAAACCAAGCATTGCCTGGCGCAACCAGAGAAGTAAAGGCTAGAAAGCATCTGTTCTGAATCTGATGACGAGACCAAGAAGAGCCTGCCCTGCTCAGCAGTGCTTTATTGCAGAGGCATAGGGGTCCTGAGCCCAGTAAGAGAGGCTGTTCTGGGACTCATAAAGGACTTATTTTCCCCTCAAATGGGGAGCACTGGGAAGCAATGGGAGGCTTAACTGTGGGAGGTTCTGTCCTTGATAAATATGAGTAAGAATAATATCATTTTAGTTTTCAAACGAAACTGAATTAGAAGTCTCCAGAGTTTTCAAAACTGCTTATCAGGCCTAGTGTATTCGTTGTGCTCATAGTAATAACATGTGTAGAGGTAACTCCATGTAACCTGAATTTCTTTACATTAATGATTAACATAGGTCACAGGTACAGCTTCAAGCTGTTTTCTCTTTAAGTAAGAAGCCAACTGTTTAGAGAAGACTTTCACAGTTGTAAGAGGGGTGCACATCTATGATGCCTAAAGTCACCAAATAAAACTTCTCAAGAAACAGCGGTGTCTCTTCTTGTTTCGCCAAGATTAACGTGCTGGAGTGCAGTGTCATTTTGAATGCTGAGGTTTAACATTTTTCCAAGACAGGAAAAACAAAGCAAAGAGTGCAAAAGGTCACCTAATTCATCCTTCTCCCTTTTCACAAAGGGCTCCCACAAATTGTCCTGAACAGATTAAAACCTATTCTAAGAACTAAGTGCCTCAATAACGAAGATGTGAACACCTTGTTCTAATTTTTATTGGGAGGATAAGCTCGTATCTGAGCCAAATCCCTTTATTTATATTTATAATCTCCATCTTCCAATTTTCTCCAGTTAATTATCATGTTTTATTTTAAAAAAAGCTTTAAAAAGCTATCTATGAGGGTCAGTGAGATAGCTCAGCGGACTAAGCTCCTACCTGGCAAGAGCAAGCACCTGGGTTCCATCCCTGGTACTGCATGCCATGCTGGCCCTGCCCCAAGCCAGCCACCAAAACCAGGCGTGGTGGTGCACGCCTGTAATCCCGGTGCTGGGGAAGCTGAAAACAGGAGGATCACTACAAGCCAAAGCTGTGTAGTGAGACCCTGTACCACATACATAAAAAAAAAAGCTAGCTATGTTCCAAAAGGCAACCTCCAGGCAAACTTTTCTTCTTACATTTTTTGGGTGCCTGGCTGCCTAGATTTCCCTTCTTCCATAGTCTTCCTTGTTTGTTTTCTTAAGAAAAGTTTTACTAAATTATACTTCCCATTCTATTAAGTTTAACTTTTAAAAGGGTACCACTGAGTAATTTTTAGTACATTTACTGATTTCCATAACCATCAATATCACACTGTACAACACTATTTTCTCTGAAAATTGCCCCCCTGTCCCTCTTTTTTCAACCCTGGGTGGGCTGCTTCCTGTCTCCGTGGATTTGCCAATTGTGTACATCACGTGTAAGTGGGACTTACAAAGCACATGACTTTCGCATCTGACTTCTTTCATTTAGCAGGTTTTCTTTTCTTTATAATTTTTATTCATTTTAATGAGAAAAAAAAGATAAAATAGTGATGAAAGTTTCAAAACAGATTAGCAGAGTGTTTACAATAATTAATACATTGCATGTTGTTGTCTTTGTAGTAGTTATTCAGAGGAAAAGATGCAGACATGAGGGGCCGGGGAGATGGCTCAGTGGAATAAGCACTTCCCTGGCAAGTGCAAGGGCTTGAGTTCAATCCCTGGTTCCACCAAAAAAAAAGATGCAGACATGGTATCTTGTCTAAACAATATTAGTACAAACTTTTATTTTCAGTGAACTAAGAGAAAGTAGCTGTATATCTATCTTAACTCTCTTGTGTGTGTGTGTATATATATATATATATATATATATATATATTTCTTTCCCCCTTTTTTCATAATAAACCTGTCTTTTATTTACACTTTTGTGAAATTAGCAACTCATGACACTAGGTTGCTTAGCAACTGATAGCTAACCTTAACCAGACAGGATGTTCATCTCAGGAATGAGGTAACTTGTTTGCTGTAGGCACTGGGTCAAGTCCCACCTACATATATTTGATTAATTTCCTAGCTTCATAGCCCCCACCATATCCCCCTTTACCATTTCATTTTTTTCAGAGATGGTGTTCCACTACAGTTAGCGAAGCTGTATTTGGAGATGTCTTTAAAGGACCTTTTCATACTTGATGCCAGTCTAAGGATTGTAGGTACCTGAATTCAGCAAAATAACCCAATATAGTCCAATAGTCCATAATAGTATTGGGTTATCGGCAGAACTGGCAATTGTCAGATTTTTGCTGATTTGAGCCTTTTACAGCTCAACATATTATTGTGACATTACTTTTTATACCTCGTGGTTATACTTTTCTGCTGGATGGTTAAGACCAAGTTAAAGCAAGACCTATATAACTAAAAATGTAACTTTTGTATCTGACAAGGTCAGTCAAATCCCTTCAGGATTTATGCTGGAACCATTTAGCAGGTTTTCAAGGTCCATCCCTGTTGTAACAAGATATTCGTTACTTTGTACAGCCCAATGATATTCCATTGTTTGAATATCCCAGTTTGCTTATCCATTGATATCATGGTTGTCTATTGGCTACTATGACTAATGCTGCTGAAAATGTTTGTGCACAAGTTTCCTGTATGGCGTGTGTTTTCATTTCTCCTGGAATCCACTGCAAGTGGGTTTTCCGGATCATATGGTAACTTTATGTTTAAGGTTATAAAGAACTATGAAACTGTTTTTACATTACCATCAGTCAACATGTGGGAATTTGCATTCCTTTCTGCTACACAGGAGGCTAAGTGGAAGGATCACCAGTTTGGGCCAGTCTGGGCACAATTTAAAAATAAAATGGATTAGGGATGTAGTGCAGTGCTCCCTGGGTGCAGACCCCAGTACTGAAAATGTGATTTATGTGTCACTATCTTTTGCCCTCTTTTCTTGAGAGTCTATTAGGCCCTACTTAAGAGCTGATGAAGCCTTTACTTTGAACCCTAGAGAGAGGAGGATCAGGTTAGGTCTTGCTCTTGATGTTTTACCTTGCTGGAGAAGTAATAAATGAAAGGAGGCATGCCACTGAATTATTATTCTAATAAGAACCCCCTGGCTTCACAATGTCAGAATCATCTGGGGAGCTTAATACACGTGGTACCAGGTGTCTCCTTCAGAAACAGCTTGTCAATTAAACATACTCCAGGCCTTTGCCTTGAATAAAGATTTGGATAAGATAAGTTCAAAACAGTGCCAAAAGTTTATTTGACTAGTGAGAGGCTAAGGGGAAAAGCTGGCTCTGCAGAGTGAGGTTGGGCCCCCCAAAAGGAAAAAAAAAAACAGCAGAAATAAAAATACACCCTTGTCCAGAAGTCACACAGTGGGTGTGATGACGGTAGCTTCCTTGTGGCCGCCCATCTCTTTTGTGTCATCCCTATACCATGGGAGGCTGAGAGAAGTTCTACACAAGGGTCCTGGATGATCAGCAGGTGTCAGTTATTTCCCCAGCGAGCTTTTTCTTGCCCTACCTCCTATCTCATATGTGCTAGTTTTTATTATAACAGTTGTATGCAATCATGGTAAGACCGTATCAAGCAATGTGGAAAGGTATAAGAAGAGATGATCACAAGTCCATCCTATCAGGTCACCCTAACTCCTCAGTTTCTCCTGGGAGTTTATTGAAAATGGATATTCTCATAGCCTTCTGTTCCTAGGGGGTTGACTCTATAAAGTTGAGCTAGTGAGAAAACACCCTAGATGCACAAGGAGGGATGGGTTTAGGCCACAACAGTGAAGGAAATGCCCGGGGTCAATCGCTCCAGTGTGGTACTACTGGTCTACATGTTTGGTGTAAAGCTTTATACATTGTAAGTTATTACTATGAAATAAATGACCTTGACTGAAGAGGGTGGTGGTGTTTTAAGTACTTAGAAAAGAAGGAAGAAGGAAATCCATAGGTAAGGAAAGAAGGCATGTGAGGAGGGCCTCTTTGGTCCTAAACAGAAAAAACCAAGGGTGAGAGATGCTGTGGATCCTTGGAAGGAAAATGATGAGAAGCTCTAGCTTCTGCCGTTCGCTGAGGGCAATTCTAGTTCCATGGCTATAATGGTAGCAGACAGAAACAGCCCCCTTCTCCTCCAAGGCCCTTAAACTCATTCATCATCAGCAAGGACTTTGGGGCCACCCAGAGCCTGCTCCTCTTTCTTTCCTTTATTGACCACTCTATTTTTGTTGCTTCTTCTCAGGTTACTGCTCCTCTTTCAGCCTCGCCTTCCTAGGTCTTCCCCTCTTTCCTTGTCCAGAGCAAAAGTACCATGACAAACAATAAAAGGCTCTGGGCGCTTCAGAGTAAATTGATCCTCCTTGTGAGAAGTGCTAACACCGGCTATAATTACTCACCATTCCTTGGGGTGAACGCCTATCCTCTAAAGATCATCTAGGCTTTCTCTGTCCCAGCTTTCCGGCTACAGGAGTTACAGTGCAGCATTTTGTTTATCTTACAAGATATTTATAACAAGTGCAGCTGGCCTTTACCGTGGATAGTGGCATCCATGAAGGAGAAACTTTCCCATGGTCAGGAGGAGAAAGCTAGAATCAACTGAACTTTTTACTCAGAAAAATGAGGCAGCCTTGTTTGTAGTCTGAGCTCTGATTCACCACATTTTTAGGTCTTCCAAGAGACCCTAAGTTTGTGATTAACACCTCTCTCTCAAAGAGAAAGCTAAAAATACCTTCAACACTAAGTAGATTTAATTGGAATATAAGGTTAACTTGATCCCTGCTGTTAAATTAATAAACGTTGCAAGAGAGAATTCTTTTGCTATTCTAATACGTTTAGGCTGAGGTAAAATGAATAGCTGTTTTAAAGAGGCAGAAATTAACACAGATATTTATGTATTCAGAAAAGAATATGTATTTTGTTCCTTTCTTATTTTCTTCACTTCACAGTGTAAAACTTGGCCCTTGACATTTTAATATGGTAAGTACAGTGGAAAGTTTGTGTAACAAGCCTACTGTGATGGCACACATCAGTAGTTCCAGCACTTGGGAAGCTGAGGCAGGAGGATCACTGTGAGTTCAGGACCAGCATGAGGGCCAGGAGATGGCTCAGTAGAATAAGCACTTGCCTGGCAAGTGCAAGGGCCTGAGTTCAATCCCTGGTTCCGGAAAAAAAAAATAAAAATTCACTTATCTACTCTAAATAATTTTAAAACATCTACTTTTAAGATAAAAAATTTAGAATTGTATGTAAAATACTTTTACATGTGATTAATTTAATAAATATTCTAAGACCATAGATATTGAATAAGTTCTAAATTTTGTGAGATGTGAATTATCACAAAGTTGCAAAGCAGAGTCACAGTCTTAGAAAAATAAGTGCCCAGGGGCTGGGGAGACAGCTTGGCACTCTAAGTGCCTGCCTGGCACGCACAAGACCCAGTTTGATACCCAGCACCAGATGCCGTGCCAACCACTGAGACCC